AAAATTTATAAATTAATATAAATATATTTTAATTTTAAATATATTTATATTATATATTATTATTATTTATTATTATTAAAAAATTATTTTATTAACTTAATTATATTAACTTTAATTTATAAAAAATATATTATTTATAAGCAAGTTTATAAAACTTTATATTTTTTTATAAAATTATATAATTACTTGTATTTTATTAAACTAATTTATTTATTATTATAATTACTTGCGTAAAGGTTTATTATTATTATTATTATTATAAAAATTTAGCTTAGCTTTAATTTAATATATAAACCGTTTTAATTTACTTGTAGTAGCTTGCTTAAGCATGCTATAAATAATCTTAAAAAGCTTTTTAGTTTTTTTTTTTTTGTTATCGGCTAATAAAATTAATATTAACCTATAGATATTTATATAAGTATTTATATTTTTTAGCGTACTTTAATCCTTTTTAAATATTATAAAATATATAAAAAGTAGTTAATAAAAAATATTAATAATAAAAACAAGCGCTATTAAAATATTTTAAGCTAAATAAAATATATTTATTAAATAAACTATTATTTTTAATGCTTATATATATTTAATAATCTTTAACGTTAATTTGCTTAAGTATAATATAAGCTATAATAGCTAAAGCTTATTATTATTTAATTGTTTTAAACTTAGCAGATTTTAATGCACTTTTTTTATAAATTATTTTTAAAACAACTAAGTATAAAATAATTTAAATATATTAATATATATTTATAAAACTTTATAAAATTATTATATATATTTAATTATTTTTAATAATATATTATATATTATTATACTTGCATTAGCAAAAGTTGTTTAAAAAAGTATATGTTTATTTAATATTGTTATTAATATTTACAAGCTTGCTATAGTTTTTTAAATATTTACTGTTTTAATATTAAAATTTTATTTTTATTTTTTTAGTTTATAAATAGTTGTTTAATCTTATATTAATAAGTTTTTAAGCGCGTTAGTTTATATATATTTAAGCTTTAATATGCTGTTTTTATTTAATTTTGGCTTTAGTTTATTAAACTTTATTTTTATTATTTACAACGTTGCGTTTATTTCTGCAGCGCCCTGTTATTTTATATAAAATAATAAGTCGATATAAATAATTATAAATAGTTATAAAAGGCTTATAAATTTTATATAACTTAATATAATAATTAATAAGCTTATATAAGGTTATATAATTATACTAGGTTATATTTATAAATAAAAAATTTTTTATAATTAAAGAAATATTTTTTTTTTTAGTTACCTTATTAAAATAAATATATTAACTACACTTATTATTTATATATAGTATACCCCACTAATTACCTTATTAATTTTATTTTAATTTTATTTTAATTTTACCTAGGGGTATTCCTATTAAAATTTTTATTTTTAAACAGTGTTCCCTCTCGGACACCCTAGCAGACTATTTCGGACTGATATCCGAAGACTGAACTCTGAGCCCCGTGTATTACGAGATAAGAGTACAACATAACTGTCCCAATGATAGCTTTACATTCGGCACTCAATGTCATACATATGAATTAAATATATGTGAAGAGCTAGTTAACAATAAATAGCAGACTAGACTACTTAACTGCTGTCCGATATCTGAAACGTTTGAAGCTTGTATAGTGTAGTATAGGAATGTGTAGAAGGGATAACATCTGTGACTCATCACACTATTTGATCCGGGGCGAGTAGCATCTCACTCATGACTCTTTCTATCACGGCCAACGCTCTTTTACTTTAAAACAGGCCTATACTAGAGCCTTCATCATCCTTATTATTTCTCCCTGAGGGGATGCAGTGCATGCGGCCACAACCCGGTTGAGCCTACGCAGTAGGAACCTACTTAACATGCTGCCGGTGTGCGGGAGGCAGCAACCGCAACCGCCTAGCCCCCGTGGGGTATCAATGGCGACAATCCTCCAGATTATAAGGGGTATTTAAAAGTGTACAGAGCTCTCTGATGTGAGTTAGCTGATAACTCTCAAATCATATCATACAGAAGACGCTGATACGTTCTATTAAGTAGTCCCGTCTAGACCAGTTCCAAGATCAAAGACGAGTAGCTCACTCACCTTGCGATATTCTATACCATGGAATATAATCCGGGTTTATCAGATACGTTGCTCTTGTGAGGGCGATGTCTATCACAAGGGTTGGATATAGGGCTTAGAGATAGTCCCAATACGACAATAATTTCACGACCGCAAGGTCTCTTAACCATTCAAAAGGTCCTCTTATAGCCTCCTGTAGGTCTAGGTCTATATATACGGCTTTTACCCGAGGTCCCAGAAGTTTTCGGATAGCGAAGCCTGAATAGCCTCGCTGAGACAGTCCCAGCGAGTCCCCGAGGCCTACATTATATGCCTTCATCTGATGATATGACTACGAAGGTTCATTGTACTTTAGCGGGTGTAATAGGGTCTCACGTAGTCTCCCGTGCAACGATACCTCATCCTCTGGAGTGACAAACAAAGTGTCTACATTATTGACTGAGTACTTAAATATTCAAGTGACGCTGATGTTGCCGTGAGAATTCTAGATTTGAAGATAAACGGGACTTTATTCTTTGGCAGACTGAATACGTTGGAAGTTTTTGGCTTTAGTAATTAGATGTGGCGCGGAAAGCGACAGGTCGTTAGGGCATAATCTAACAAGCATTAGAAAAAGATGGTTCCGTTAGAATCTTGGTCACTGATCTCTGAGTCCTGACCTGTACCATAACACGATCAGCATGGATATAGCAGACACGGAACTGTGACTTGGTTATGAACGTTATAACACATATAAAGGTAGCCTGTACATTGCCCTTTCAAAGCAGCTCGCTGCAGCCCTATGCTCTGTTTATTTGTGCTAACATCGCAATCCACCGATATACGCCAACGATATGCGCCACTGCTACAAACTCTGTCTTTTCCATCTTACTTGAGAAGTTTTGCCACGTATCGTGATTTAACGGCCCATCAAGCCTCGTCAAGACCTGTGCCAGGCGATACACTATCTCCTCTCCCGACTCCAAACCTTCCGGGACTTTACCAATCAGAGCGTCTTCGCATTGCTCCATCGTCAAGCCCACACGAATGGCAGCCTCTCGATGGCATAGTGCTACATATGGCGCATTCAATACAGATGCTAGGCCAAGTATGGCCAACTCCCGCTTACGGGGTGCGAGAAATGAAGGTTGGTAGCAAGCTTTAGCCATGTCGAAAAATGTCGGCGTGACAGCCGGTGAATAACTGTATATTTAACGTATTAGCTTCTCTTGCATTCCGAAATGTAATGAATAAAAGAAGGTAGTGGTCAGGAAAGGAAGGTTACCATAGGGGTGCGAAACATCCCGTCAGAGAGTCGCCGTTGTCATCCATTAACGGGACCGACAGCTTTGAACCAAACACTGCCACCATTAATTCCTCTACTCGCTGGAAAGCGGACTGGCCGGGCGACCCAGCAAGCGGAAATTGTCAGGGTTGTCCGTCCCGGAGTGAATGGATAGCCTACGCAGTCACATAGCAGGTAGGTAGAAAGGGGCCAGTAGCCATAGGGTGTATTGGTCAACATAGCCCCTATCCCTTCCAACTGCTAGTTGGGAGGGATAGCCTGTATATATAGACCCAGCCTGATAGGTACACATTAGGGTGTCACCTATTCACCTGACAGAAATCGAGAAGCCATCAGTAATTACGAGTGAGATTGATGTGCGTAGATGTGAAAAAGGCCTGTATTTTAAGAGGGCTTGGAACCTGCTCGCTTTAGATATTAATACTTCTTGTGTGTATGAAGGTCCATTGTTCGATATATGTTGTCAGAGCCAGGCGATTCTTAATCTTCTTATACCCGTGCCAGGTAAATAGGTAACACCCTGGTGTATACCTATTAGGCTTCGTCTATATATTCAGGCTCTCCCCTTCCAGCAGGTAGTTGGAACGGCTAGGGGCCAAGAGACCAATACACGCTATGGCTCCTAACTCCTTTCTACCTACCTACCACGTCACTGCGTGGGCTATCCATTCGCTCTAAGACAAAAGTCGAACATCCCGTATGCTGTTTGACTTCGATATACCGCTTCTAGTAGACCGGTGAGACTTCTTTATTTATATCTGGCCCGAAAAGGGGATAGGTCAACCACCACGTGATAATACTCCGAGACAAGTGGCGTTATGAGTAGGAAGGGCACCTTGAATGGAAATATTAAGGTCCTATAAGTATAAATCTATGATAGAGTGGCACTCAGGAGCTTCCTCATACGTTAGGGTAGAACCGAGGATGGTAAACATTGTACAATGATTTCAGCGACTGTAGTGGTTCAGCGTCTATCTATAGTATCGCGATACGAGTAAAGTTAAGGACCGATGGCCTATTGCTCGAGTACTAAGAACTAGATCTTATTTACGTAAAATGTGTTCGCTCGCTGCTGCTCTATTTAAACCTATAAATTATATTATAGGTGTCTCTTATATTATGATCTTTATTTGTTGGGTTTATATCATCACCTACCTTGGTAATATAAAAAGAATTTAACAACTTATTATATTAAGATAATAGTCTTAGATATAAACCATTATTTAAAGGAATTACTTGAGGATTAAAAATATTAAACAAGCAAAACATTAATAAGTAACCCGACGTGGGACTCGAACTATCAAGAAGTTAACAAGTGAAGATGTAGTCATGAGACACTAATCACGAACCCCACAACCTTATGATAACCTCTTGTAGAAGTCATATGCGCTAACCATTGCGCCAGCCGGGCTGTAACCCTCGGGAAATACGGAGGGTTTATTTCGTGTGCTGAATTTTTTGGTTCGTTATATCTATAACGTAATATTGAACACTCGGTAATATAAGGTATCTGCTGACTCGTTGTGGAGGTACGGTAGTCCCGCCCTCTCCCCGTAGCCACCGGGCCTCCGTTTACCATCGGCGTGTTAACCCCACTAATGCACCGTATTATAAGAAACGGAACTATCGAACCTACCGGCATGCTGCTCTAAACGATGCCGTTTCTACTTAGGCCACCTTTTTTTTTTTTTTCACACACCTTCTTTCTAGAATACCTTAGCCTACTAGCTAATCTTTATATCGACCTATGTCAACACTTTAACTATACCCTCCACTACTCTTTAGTTAACTTACACTCGAACTACTGGGTACTCTAACGTCGGTTGTTACAACAACCATTCATATTACGGCATAATGTTCTCTGGCCCTTGATTCCTCCTGCCCTAAGTTAAGGAGTGGCTACCAACTTGTTCGCATTATGCTCGTTCGGACACTACGTATTCGGTTGATGGCCAGGGGTTTCATTATTAGACCAAATTGATTCACAAGTAGGTAGGAAAGAAGCACGTAGGTCTTGTGTATGGTAAGAACTCCATTCCTTTGATCCCTGAGTCCACCCTGCCTCACTAGGAAGGAAGGACTCGGATCTTTACGTAGATAGACTAAAAGCTAGAGTTCACTTTCATTCGACCCTAAACTCCGACATGAAAGCCTCAATTGGTTGATCCGATCTGGTCTGGACTCTGAAGATACCATATCTATTATCATCATCTTCATCATCATCATCTCGGCGTATTCGAGATAAACTTTGGCAATAAGCGCAACAAGCCACCCTTATGAAGCGTACCGCGACGGCGTCAGGCCGGTCTCCGGTCCCACGGGCGTGACCTGGATCATCCCGTCGTGCGGGATCATGGCGACCTCTTTGCCGCATTTGGTACAGTAGATGTGGATGTTCTCGCACCAGCCTGCGATGCTGGGCAGACAGACTAGACATATGCATACGAGGCAGCAGAGGAAGGAGGCGAGTCTGGAGGATGATGATTAGTTGAAGAAATAGTCGTATGTGCCGAGTGTGGGTAGAGTTGGGCAGTAGAGGGTTACAGAGTTGGAGGATTGGAGAGTTGGAAGGGAGAAAGGAGAAGGAGAGGAGTCACGAACGCTTGCTGGGAATCGCCCTCCTTAGTGGACCGCGTCTGGGTCATCTGCTTGCAGAACGGGCAGTCGATCCACGCCGGCGCTTCTGTCAGCGCGTGCAGAGGCGTGACTAGTCGTGGGGGCTCTTTGGTCGTGGCATGCTGGGTCGTCGCGGTGTTGCCCGCTTGTGTGATTGGGGGCTGCTGCGTGGTGCTAGATGAATGAATAAGTGAATGAATATCAGAGATTGTGTTTGAACTTGTAGATTCTGGGTGGATGTATGATAGAGCTTACGCTGGAGCTGTTGTGTTGGGTGGTTGGTACGCTGGCGGTGCTACGTCGTCTTGAGTTGGTCTGTGTTCAGACTTGCCGTCGGCCGTCGCAGCGCTGGGCTGCTGATTAACGGCGTTAGGCGCGTTGGCGATGGTTTCTGTCTGTTGAGGTTCAATCATTGCGGCTAAATTGGTGTGGTGAGAACGAACGACGATGGTATTAATGACGAGATGATAAATTCGTGGATCCTGGGGATTTTGATGTTATTTCATTCTTATCACATTTGAAGGATTTGAGTGACACATCGCCGAACCATCATTTCACCACGTGGGCTCACTTTGTTGTGATCCTACTTCATTCATGTGGGCTGGTGGCGATGAAAGCTTACTTGCATATAATAGGTAGACTGGCTCGTAGGGCGAACGAATTATGTCACTGCGTAGCTCTTGGCAAGGCACAATCGTGGGGCGGAATAGGACAGCTAGGAGTAGCTTGGGGTTCCATCATCGTTTTACGTAGTATGCGTGAAACCTTTTTATGGATTTATCCCAATGTAGAGAGAGCTGTAGTCGGTTGGCACATTAGATATATAGATTTCAGACGCGAGTCATCTCTCAACACCTTCGCAGAAACGCCTTATGTGATTTCGCATGGAAAGGTTAAGAAAAGTTAGATAGATGAAGGAATGACTGTGGTTGATCGCTTAACCCCTGCAGGATCGCAGCGACCCGGGTAGTATATATATATCGCATGGAAATGTAAAGACTGTTGGTAACAGGATCAACATAGGTATGGTCTAATCGTGTTAGGAGTTAGGTGGCTGAGCACTTCGCCACACAATACCACCACCTGGCGTATTACTTAGTAGAGCTTGTGCCTCATAGTCCTGGAGCTATAAGTAGACTTGTCTCTTATTGTTAGATATAAATTAGTATCTTTAACACTTGGCCAAATACTCAGTGGTTGATTTGCTCTCTTCTGTATCAGGAATGGGAGTGGAAAGTGAGACGGTCCGCTCTCCTCCATTACTATTGCCACTGGAATCTTATCAACTTTTTCTTCCCAATTTCTTGCATTTCTTCTGCTTCCAGCAGTGGTTGAGCTGTCTTCAACTGATTTGATTGGTTTTTCAACTGGCCCTCGGTTTGTAATCGTGATTACTCCGTGTCGCTTGTCGCTTGTCTCTTTCGATCTTGACATAGCAGCGTCGGCAAGGTGCTATCTTTCCATACTGGCCTTTCCGTCTCCTTCAAATAACCCGGTAGAATGGTCAGCGGAGCTATGATGGTGGTCGTGGCTAGTAGAGTGAGTGGTAGAGGATAGAATGAAACACATGAGCCCGTTTGCCATGGTGTACCTTCAACCACGCCCAGTGGCTGTCTTGAGGTTTCATTGATAGGAGGCTCGGAACTTCCGAATTTAGTCCTGTATTTATTCGCCACCACCGTCGCAAATGAGGAAAACCATGTTTCAATTGTAGAGAAGTTTGCTCCATCATTCCATAAAGCTTTTAGTATAAAATTCTGGCCGCCAATGGTAGAAGGGGACGGTCAAAGAACCGTGCTGATACAGGCGCAGCTGCCGACGCTCTCTAAGAGATACTAATCACTAATCTGATGCTTTTGTCTGTTGGGTGTTTTAAATGACCTATTTAATGAATTGAGTATAAACCATAGTGCTAACAAAGCTAGGTAGTATCAGAAGATAATATACGGCCGTCCTAGATAGGGAATAAATTTAGACATGAAAATGGGCTGGAGGGTCTACCTACCTAAAAGTCTTAGAAAGGTAGGCGATCTTTTAACGAAGAATTAATGTATCAGAGAAGTTAGCGATTACTAATTTGATACCTCGCTTATACAAATATTGATTCCCAAGTGATTGTGTACACACCCTCTGATCGTGTGAAGTTACTAAGACACAACACGATCACTAGAATTCTGTTACCTAGGTCACGATATGGATGGCTCTAATCTATGAGGCTTGTAAGGAGATATTCATGAGTGGAATCCGGATAGGTACATTGACGTTGTCTGTCCATTCCGATAGTATTGCATTCTTTCTCTAATAACCTTGCGCTCACTTAATAATATTCTGATGCCTAATTAACCATGGTTTAGACCAGAGACAGAGCCATTACTGTCTTACTAGTATTGGCTACTTCTGATCCCTCGGCACATTGGAGCCGCACCCTTCTAGATGCCCAGGTTGCGCAAGGGCTAATACCCGAGAATTTCGCGAACGGCCCTTTCCCTAAATACTTTCCTTCAAGCATTGGTTTGTTTGGTTCTAGCCGGATCTACAAGTCCGGGATCCTAGTTTATACAATTAGCTGTTAAGATTCATTACGGCCGGATGGGATGCACGGACCGGCCCAGTTGTGGCAGCCGAAGTTGCGCTATCCATGTGAGAATCCAAGCCGGTGTCTCTACTGGGCTGCGTCTCCACTAGATCATTTCCCTGAACAGTGAGCTCTTGAGACGCAATACGTCGCATTAGTGCCAGGAAGTCGGAGTTTTTGAACTTTTCCGAGTTATTGTCAGCGAGTGAATCAACAAGTTGTTGGGCCGCGCGAGCCAACTCGTCTCGGTTCTCTGCTGTGTCTTTCTCAGGCGCGTTATGATCTGGCGATTCGACAGGAGCAGCGGTAGAATTGGCGTTTAGCATATCGCTGTCTTGGGCATTGAGCTCATTATGACTACTCGTCTCAGCTCCTGGTCCGTTCTGAAGCATCCATTGATCCATTGCGTTTTCAAATTCCTGGTCGAGGATTTCTTTATGAGCATCGAGAGAAAGGGCGGCGCCGTCTGGAGTGTACGTTTAGTTTAGCCTTCAACTCAAAATTTTCGCTGCTACATACCAAATACCGAGGGAGCCAACATATTGTTATTGCTCTGGAACATCCCGACTTGGCGACTGGTCGGATGGAGACCTATAGGTGGAGGATGGGAGGGTTGGAAAGGCGGTTGCTGCCGGAGCAGCGGGGCTGCAAAACCAGAGCGCATAGGGTCAGCTACACTGGAATGTCCTATGACAGGACCATGAATGGGCTGGGTGTGACGCGGACTGGTGTTAGCGTCGAAGACCATGCGCTCAAAATCATTAACCCAACTGTCACCTGTACTCGTGGTGAACGCTGGAGGTTGCTGGGCTGGCTGCCGTTGAAAAAAGGCAGGTGCCTGGCCTAAAGGGGGATGGATATAAGGGGAGGCATTATAAGGTTCCAAGCCTATCGACGGATGCTGAGGGAGTGTTGCATTCTGCTGCTGAAAAGCACCGAACTGATCGGGCAGGCCAGAGTTAAGAGGCGCAGAACGAAAGCTCTAGACGAAACATGAGTACTTTATTCACAAGACGTTTCCAGATAGAGCGTAGGCTGAACACAAACCTGCAGAGGGTGTTGAGCGCCCGGGGCAACTCGGTCTTGCTGGTGGGAGCGGTCTTGCTCGATGTGACGAGCGAGACCCTTGAAGGCGTTTGACGGCCCACAGGAACTGTCCGCCATGGCGAGACTTGAACTGTGGATGGATCCGTTGTGATATTGCCCCAGAGCTTCAAGCG